ATGTCTTGCCAGGCCTTCCCTAGGGTGACCTGTCTGCATATGGAAACAACAGAGCACTTAAAACCAATAAACCAATTACAAATACTCAATAAAATACTAATGTATTATTTTAATATTGCAAAATGTGATCTTTGTCAGGCCATTACCTAGCTACATCACAACAATCCTCTTGGTGCAATAGCATTTAACATTCTTTAGTAAGGCAAGTTCTGCTGCTGTTTGAAGCTTATCTTACAATACTCAGTTTTAATCCAATCACAGAACTTGCAGAACACTAATAAACATGTATGTAAATAGACTAAATACTTTAGCCTAGGGAGAGAATATATATGTGTGTGTGTATATACACACACACATATATACCTTATACCACGAAATTTAGGTGCTAGGAATTCTTCAGATGGACCTTAACTCAGGTGATTTTTGGAGTCAAAATCTTCAGACAAATTAAGATGCCACCCAAAAGTGCAAACAAAGTATCTCCTGCAATGATTTGCCTGCAGTGCAAAGTATTCACTGGTGATTACTACAGTTTGCTGAAATAAGTAGTCTGTAAAAATATGATTTTGTCTATGTTTGACTCTTATTAACACTACAGGCTGTGTACTCAGTAACATCAGCAGTTCATTTCCTTTCACTTCAGTCATGCAAAGTTTAGTGGGTACTGAGATAAGAACTTTTTTTTTGCCTCTGCATTGAGGAATAATATTCTGTTGGAAAGAGGATTCACTTTGTCCCATTTGGGCTTTAAATATTTCAGAACTACACATATGGCTAACAATTTCTATTCAGCACCACTGAAGCTACATGTTACTATAAACAGTACCACAGAGTAGCTGAGGTTGGAAAGGATCCCTGGAGAACATCCAGTCCAGCCCTGTGCTCAAGCAGGGTCAGATACAGCAGGTTGATCCAGACAGCACTGAGTCAGGCTTTTAGTACCTCCAAGGAAGGAGATTCCACAACTTCTTCGAGTGACCTGTTCAAACCTTCATTCACCCATACAAGACAGAATTTGCTATGTTTCAACTGCTGCCCATTGCCACTGATCCTGTTATTGGGCACCACTGAGAAGAGTCTGTGTCTGTATTCTTTACACCATCCCATCAGACACTGATAACATGGGTGACAGATCCCCACCCTGAGCCTTCTCTCCCTACAAAATCCTAAAGTCTCACCTTTTTGCAGCAAGAGCTCCATAATTTCTGTATATCCCATCTGTGCAGCCAGTGCTAGAGGTGTGAGCCCATAGCCACTGCGAGGGTCAGGATCTGCTCCAGAATGAAGGAGAAGCTTTACCAGATCCTTCCTGCCCAGCCTGGCTGCCTCATGTAGAGCAGTTCTGTTGTGGACACACTGCAGATTCAATTTTGCACCAGAACTTATCAGCAAGGAGGCAATCTCATAGGAATCATGTTTAATTGCTGCAAGACAATAAGCAAATCATCAGACAGAATGTCATTCAACACTGTTCTATGCACTATTGCCTCTGTTATGTGGCAGCCCAGGAAAGCTCACACTGTTCCTGGCAGTGCTATTTATACACTGAGATGTGTCACCCTACACTGACAGGTTTAACTTATCAACGTCTGTTCTTTGCTTCCAGGACAGCACCAACTATACAAATGAATAATTTTATAGTAATCTCTTTTACTCTATAATCCTCAGTTCGTTTGGTGAGGAACAGAACACAGCTCTCCTTGCCACTAGATGGAGGCCACGTCCAGGGCCTTGGTGCAGTCAGGAGCTGCCAGCAGAGCTCCATTTAATCTTTACCAGCAGTTACCATAATATGAAACAAAGTTTAAAATGACTGTGTCATGTGCCTTCTTAGCTTAATAAGCCTGAACTGTTAAATCAGTAAGGATCTTAAAAGAGAAATTTGCATTGGCTCCAGTGGATGGAATGAATAGGCAACACCTTTCCCTCCTCCTCTCTTTGATCTTCCAGGCTGTGCAGGGGAGTG